AGTATCAGAGGTTCTGTCATGCAAATGTCATTTGTCATCAAACTGCAGACAGAGCATGTGACTGTCATATTTTAGCCTGTCTGTATTCCACTAAGCATTTATCCTATGACAAGCAAATCGTCTAAAGTAAATCTGTGACGCTCCAGAACGGATTGACTACATTAGGAGTAACAAAAGTAGATTTTTTGCCTTGTGCTGTACACCTTTGGACTTAATATGCCACACTTCATGAAGTACTGAAATAGCAGTAGCATCAAAATGCATCACTTTTTTTTTTTAAATCAGAGAACTAAATTTAATAAATATCTGTAAGCAAAAAACACGATGCATAGATGACAAGTCTAATAGACATAGCATACAAAGGCTTTGTTCTGACTCATTTATAAATTCATGAATATACAAGTCCTGTGTGCATGTGTTGTAATTACAATACTGTTTTTGTTGTAAACTAAGGGGGGGGAAGTGAAAGAGAGAAGAATGGGGGGGATTTCTGTTGGACTGAGTGTGAGAAGATGGGAAGAGAGGCATGTGTCAACAGGGTCACCTATTTTTAACTGTCAGTGTCCTTTGCTGGCCTTCCTGCCTGAACACAGACTTGACACACACACACACACACACACACACACACACACACACACACACACACACACACACACACACACACACACACACACACACACACACACACTCAAATAGTAGTTAGCAGTGACACCATAGCATCCTCAAGGCATCTTGCATCTGGGAGCACCCAACAATGTGTCTTTTTTTCTCCCTGTCAGTTGTAAATCTGATATTGCATATTCAAGATATTTGAGACATTTTTCATGGAATGGTTAATTTGGGTCACTTAAACAACAGACAGACACAGCAATACAAATGATATAGTGTAGTAATGTGGACACTCTTTGGTAAGAACATCATCATCATGGAAATCTGGGCCTAATACTTCCTTAGTATATTGTCAGTATGTTTGAAGCAGTACAAAACAAGCGGAGAGTTGATTTTCCCTTTTTTCCCCAGCCCTGAGATCCTGTCCTAAAGTAGATAGGTTTGACTACTGTAGATTACTGAATGTTTTCCACCTGGGTCTTGTACATTTGAACCAGTGCATGGAAGCAACCTTACATGGAAAAGCATGAGCACTGACTACATCTGTAGACATTCTTTACATGAAAACCTCTCTGGAAAATGTACTTGTGACAGCATGTAATTCTATCTTAATTAAAAACAACAATTTTATTTTGGCAAAAATCCGGATCATGCAGGCCAATATTGTGTTTTTGATTTGGAAACACCCTTTGATTGAGCCTATCGAGCCCCCCTTGGGCCTGATGTGTGCTTGTGTACAGATGGGAACCTGAATGCATGTTTGCGTGTGTCCAATTTGCTGCAGTTGCCAGGATCTAGCGATGCATGGCTAAGGGGAGCAGTGTGACATGCATGATGTATCTGCATGTATGAGCCAGAAAAGATTCATATGTTACCTCATCACATCGTTTGCCAGAATGTACAGTCAGCCATACTCCAAGGGCCAGCAAGCTAAACACAAATGAAAGCTTGTAAGATTGTTTCTCATCAGTTTTGAACACATGGTTTACGGAGTCATTCTTCAAGGAAGGAAAGGAGAGAAAGTGCCTGTGGTGTTAAATACAATTCAGACCATGTAAAATGGAGAAGAAGAAAAATCTACGTGGTCAGCAACATGGTCAAATGGACACCTACAGGAAAGTGCACAAGTGTCCACAACAATCAGGTGCATCATTTTATAGATTTCAAAATGATATGTCTGCAGTGCTTTGACTCAGAGTAGTTGTTGAGTCAGTACTGTACTAGTGTCTCACTGATGACTTTGCCAGGTGCTGCACGCGCAGCTTACAGAGTGTTCACCGCGTTGTGCACTATGCTGTCACTAACATAACAGCAGTGGATAAAGACACTTGAAAATGTAAACCTGTTTTACCAACATGCTATTGAGCTCTTTCTTTTCTATTCTTCAACGCCCATGTACAGTAAGCTCTAACACAGAACAGTTTCTTGTTTGCAGGCAGAGATTGAAAACTCTTTGAAAATGATGACATTCAATATTTTAGCATGAACTCGTCGGTTTTACAAAGTTGAGGTGCTCATTAGACATGTTTCTAATAGAAAGAGGAATGGTTGAGTATCTTAATTAATCATATTTATTTGTATTTCAATGACATTTATTTGCATTGCAACTTTGTTATAGTTAATTTTTCTTTTTATTTAGGGTTGTCAGCTTTAACACATTAATCCTGATGCGGTTAAGGCTAGAAATTAACATACCCTCATTCCCGAACAGTTTAAATGAGGAGATTTCATTTATCAGTTTTTTGTGATCAGTGATCACAGCGGTTCTTTACTGGCTTGAAGACTTGAGATTGAGTGCGGCTTGTATTGAGTACTGCCTGTTTTGGGTTGTTGTTGTTTGTGATTGTACTTTGCATTTCCTATGTACCTCGTTATTGAGGAAGCTCATGTGGGTTGGGTGTTGTTTTGTGTTGTGGGCAGGTTGTTGTCTTGGCTCGAAACGTTCGTGTGGCAATTCAAATACAAAATTTGGAGTGCTGTCCTTATCGTTTTTCTAGTTAGAAATTAACATGCACATTTTTTTTTTTTATACAATCATATTAATCACAACTTATTTTGTCCCTAAAAGTCACATATTAAACTAAACTATATATATAGTTTATATGAATCTCAGAGCTCCCCCAAACATGTCTGTGAGGCTTCTTGTTATAAATCTACTCTGGTCCTGTATTTTATCACGCCTATAAACCCCTCTATTTCAGCCCTAGTCAGAACAGCCTGTTTCTGTGTCTGTAGCTTTAAATGTAAATTTGCTGTGTCCGACCGTGTCTCTCTGAAAGGGGATGTGGCTCTGGCTCTCTCGCTCCATGCTCAGTTGTTTACAGTGGAAAGGTGCTCTCAGTGGGCAAACAAAAACACCTAGCTGGGGGAGGGGTTACTGACCTTTGTGATGTCATCAAAGGTCAAATTTCCAAACTGCCTGTTTGATCACACATTTTCTGAACAGTGGAGCAGGCAAAAGATGGAGAGGATGGACTTTTCTCATAATTGGGGGGGTTTGTAGACAGGCTAGAGACACATATGAGCATTAGAAAAACATGCTAAAGTGTACTGTATTTTGCATGATAATTGAACTTTAACCCTTGTGCTATGTTCACTTTTTGGACCATTTACCACTGTTCGGGTCAAATTGACCCGGGACAGTATTGGGGTTATTAAGGCACACCATGGGTAAACCACTACAGCGATTCCCTGTAGTCACAGTGATGGATAAGCACAACGCAACTGCATTTTTTAATTGCTCATTTCAAAACTCCTTGTCAAAAGTAATATCCACCTTGTGACATCAAAACTGGTTTCACCAGTTCTTTTGGCTGTTTTCACGTTGTCATGCACCTTTGATTACTTAAGATAACAAGTTCTTTTTTCTGTGGTTTAGTTTATGTCCTAACCTTCGACAGGAAGTTCTTTATTTCCTTCCAAATTTAAAGAAAGTTTGTATCAGGTCAGAAAGTAAAGTACCCTTAGCTTAAGACTGAGCAAAAATTCAAAATAAAAGCATGACAAAAACAACTTTGAAACGCAAACTAATGGAATTTCAAACATAGTGATAATAATGATTAAAATAAATTTCCTGCTTAATCGGGTAAAAAAAAATATTTGACAGGCCTAGTTTTAATGTGTAACAACATGAATGAAGTTTGGAAAAAAAGCGTATTAGGAGACTACTAGAAGAACACTAGGTTTTTTTTTTTTCTTCTCCAGCACACTGGATCTGTAAAACCACAGTTTATCCTTCATGGCTGGAGTGTGGTCTCAATTTGGTCATACTTAAGTTATTTTGACGCTACGGAGCCGCTGTGACTCACTGCAGACTGACTTTCTATGAGGTCTTCTTAGTCAGTCCCAAGAGAGATAGTTTGTGAGTTTGTGTGTGTGCATGTAAGTGTGCCAGTAATAGTGTGAGAATTTCTGGCAGCAATTGCAGGAGCTGCTTATTTTTCCGACTGGCAAGTTGCAGAGGATCTTTCCGAAATTTTACACACTCTCACACGCACGCACGCATGCACACACACACACACACACACACACGGACGACCTGTGGTATTGACATAAACATGGCCAATTACATTCTGTCTTTCTTCTCTCTCCACACTCACTGTCCTTTCCCTGACTCCCATCTGTCTTTCAATAAGTCTCATGAGCCAACATCTCTTTTCTTTCTCTCGTTATTTCCTGCATCCTTCTCTGCTTAATGTACTTTCCTGTACCGTAACTTTAATTTCGTCTGTATAATTTTGGGCCATGAAGAGGAAGGAATAATTTATCCAAAATCCTGTTCTTCATTACAATCACTTTTATAGAGAGTAATGAGACGTGTCTATTTCTTTCTTCCCCTTTTTCCTTTCGCTCCCTACTCTGATCCTGCACATGTGGCTAACCTATGCCTGTCTGTCCAGCAACTGGAAATGTAGCTGTGTGTGACCCTGCCTCTAAATGGAAGTGAAGCCAAACTGGCCGTGAGTGTCTGCCTCCTAGGAGCTCTTAGCGCCTCATGTATTATTTGAAAGGCATCCGTCTGTCCGAGGCCTTTCACTGCCTCACTTGGCTCATGTGCCCCCAGTTTAATGGAACTTTTTTTTTTGCACTACTCAGCACACACTTACATGTGCAGACACACACAAAGTACACCCCAATATATGAGCTGTCAACATTCATCACTAACGCCACTGAGGATCGACTCACAGTATCCACCTGTCTGCATTTAACATATTTCTACTCGATATCAATCTGCATATGGAAGAGTAAGCAGGGTGAAGAGTGAAACATGTAGAAACAATATTGATGACATGCTTGATTCTTCTGACTCTTGAATCGTTTTGATGAAGCTGTTTCTTAACTGTGTTTTAAGCAAACCTCAAGCCCTTTTTCTATTCTCCTCTTTCTCTCAGGTCTCTCAACAGCCAAGAGGAAGTTCGCAGAGTCTCTCAACGAGTTTAAATTCCAGTGTATCGGAGACGCCGAGACAGATGATGAAATATGCATTGGTAAGCTTGCTGATATGCAATCCAGTCTATTCTGAATTCTATCCTGGAAGAGGAAAGCGTATAAATAGATGCTGGACTCCTCTGTCGTTTATCGTGCCCGAAATAGAAAAGTTGTATCAGCAGTGATTCAAAAAGGCAAGCTTTGTTTTCAGTGCGGTGGTAGAGGAAGCTATACAATTCGATATCAAATCGTGTGTCTGCATATTCATTTTAGTATCAAAGCTTATTCTTATGTATTGCCAAATTATAAAATGGGTATAAAAGAGGCTTGTCAATTGAACTGCCAGCCTTTCCCTTACAGGGACGCTTTCATTGAGTCATTTCTACAACTAAAGATAGTCTAGTTTTTTAGTGTGCAATAAAAAAAAAAATGTGTTTAATCCTTTTGGTGTTTTATCTCAGATTTGTATCATTTATATTCAAAAACTCCTTATCTTGAAATAAGCTTTCCACTGTAATAGGGTAAATTACAGGTTTTTTGGGGGCTCTTTATGCCTTCATTTTAGAGATAGGACAGTGAAAAGAGTCAGAAATCAGGGAAAGAGAGAGTGGGGAATGACATGCGGGAAAGGAGCCTCAGGTCGGATTTGAACCCTGGCCACCTGCTTGGAGAACTATAGCCTCTCTATATGGGGCGAGTTCACGAAACCACTACGCTACTGGCGTGTTCAACTTGAAGTGACATGTTTCTTAAGCCTTTAAAAGTTTTTGACGTACTCCTAAATTCTGCTCTTGTTGTATTTGAACTACTCTTTCGTCGAACCCATATGATACTCCTTCATGCTGATGCTCAACCCAACACAAGGGTGAACATGAGCACAACGTGGGAACCTTTTTGTGTATTATCGGTGAACAAAAAATAATAATTAATTCTATGGACTCATCCCGGGCCTTGCAGCCCACGGTCTCTGTGTGAAACATGCAGCAGCTGCCACACCCTCTCCTGCTGCTTGGCTGTGTCTGTGCAGGCTGTAGCTCCTCACTGGGCTGACCCGCCCTCTACTGTTGTTTAACTAACCCTGGCTATCTTTCCTGAACAGCTTGCTGTTCAACTGGGCTGCACCCCTGCACTGTTTTAAGGGTATTCATAGTCATACCTATGTCTAAACTAATATCTACTATATACTGGATACTCCATATGGATCAGTCTTAAGAAACCGTTTGTTAAATGCTTAAAAGCAGCTTGCTTACAGAAAACTTTTGAATATAGCTTTTGTGATGTTTTCTGAGTCTATTTCTGTCTCAATGTAACATTTTTTTTATTTTCGACGGCATCAATGAAAAATGTGTGATTGAGCCTACCGAAAGTTTAACTGCATTTTACGAGCTTTGTTAAAGAATTGCACTCTTTTTCATTGCATTCCTTCCACAGTCGTGCAGGTTCTGCTCTTTCAAAGTTGAATCTAACTTCCAAGAAGCAAGTCTTCTTGATGTTGAAGAACAGAACGGGTTTAAGTGTATATGTCAAAATGGGATCATGAAGGAATGAACTCCATGCTCTGTGTGTTTGCATGTGTGATTTCAACAAGCTGCACGTGCTCAGTTGATGTCTGTGTGTGTGTGTGTGTGTGTGTGTGTGTGTGTGAGAGAGAGAGAGAAGTGTTGGACAGCGATGGAGGCAATTGAAGTGGAAACTCTGACCCCAAACAATGTAGCCATGCCTCTCTTGCCAGCAAGCGAGGATACAAGCAGTGAGCTGTGCTCGCTGTGAAAGCACCATAGAAACGAACCCTCTAAATTGCGGTTTCATCTCCAGTTAATTACTCTGCTGTGTCATGAGTGAGAGGTCCAAGAGCAGAAACAAAAGCTTCATCCCCACCGCCTCATGCCAACTTTCTTCAAACGCTTTCTGTTTGCTTGTCTCAACAGCACTATTTCAAATTCCATCTGACGCTCTCTCTCCTTTCTCTGTCTTTTATGGCTATCTCTCTTCCAACATGTCTGTCCTCAGCCAAGTCTCTGCAGGAGTTTGCAGCCGTGCTACAGAACCTGGAGGACGAAAGGACACGCATGGTAAGTGTATTTGCAGATAATGGTGAATATTAAAGATGACTGCTAGAAGAGAGTGGAAACTGTTTCACAAATAAGGCTTGATATTACTCAGCAGATTACAAAATAGAGCTAAAAAAAGATACGTTTATCAGGAATATTAAAGAAATAACAATGCTTGGAAGTGGTAAACAAATGGTGTCATCTCGTAGTGTGTCAAAGAGAGTTGACTTTTACTCCATGGGTCACAATGCTTCCAGCACTGTCTGCAGCACATGTAGCAGAGCATCATCATTCTGCATCAGCTATAATTGATATCTAATGTAGAATAATGTTAATGTTTCTTTATTAAAGTTTGATACAAGAAAACAGCCTCTTGAGTAGATCTGAAAACTAACTGGTGAACAATAAGTACAAAATTCACAAAGATTAGTTTTTTTTAATTCAACCTTGAAATGTGTCTTGTCTTCTTTCATAACTGTTTGCAGTAAAACTCTCCAAAATTGTTATGTGCATGAGAAAATGTCATCATTTGGGCCTATAATTCACTGCTGATCCTCAGAGTTGATTAGTCAACCAACTCATACATCATTTTATAATCTGGATAACTAAGACATTGTCCCTGGAGTACTTAAGTTAATTTTTTTCCCCACCTTGATGCATTCCTAGAAATGTGCATCACTGCTGGCATCATGTATTATTCACAGATAGGCTGTGTTGCTGCTCTCTCTAACCCCAGTGAATTGTCATAATTGAGCAGAAATAATACAGTATAAACCACAGGTAATTTGAGAGATGTCTGTAATGTGTACTTGTTTGTCTGTAATATTGGAGTATGTGTGTGTTTGTCCCACAGATTGAGAATGCCAGTGATGTGCTGATTATGCCACTGGAGCGGTTCAGAAAAGAACAAATCAGTGCAGCTAAGGTGAGGAAGCCACTGGACTGGTGACAAAAATGTCTTCTCTTGTGCTTCAATATTGATTTACTGGCAGGAAAAGATTGCTCAACAAATCAATAAAAATCCTTTTAGTGCTTTTTCAGCTGCTAGGAGCACACCATTATAGTGCTTTCACACTTGGACAAAACTCCTGAAGTTTGTAGGAGGAGCTGCATGTGTGAACGCAAACAGTCAGATTTTTCACTCTGACTTTATCTCAAGTTTCTCCTGTCAGCTCCCTGGTATTTATTCTGCAGAAGGGCAAAGGGAGCGGAGGCAAACAACTTTAGCTTCGATAGGGGAGTCTGTTGCTTCTTCAGCCACTTCTGAGTCATTCTTTTTACATCATGCCTTGCTTCAGGAGACGCCTTGTCCACCAATATCAGTTTTAGTAAAGATTGTTTTAACTTTAAAGGACTACTATAGGACTTATGTCAAGAGCTCAGAACATTGTATGTTGTTACTGATGTGCTATAAACACTTTTATTGGACCTGACGGTGTACATTTTGCTGCTTGAACAACAAAGGATCATAAAGTATCCATCACCACTTAATCAATGCACTTTATCTTTATTTTATCCATGAATCTTGGAAATATTGCAAAGATGTATAAATAAAGGGATTTATTAGTAAATTATTGGTATAATTCTTATTTATTGTATAGTTCGTAGTTAGTATATTCTTATTTAATTTTCCTTTAAATGATTTGATTGCAGCGGCTGCAGAAACGATGGCACATCCTCTGCTAACCTGGCCTTTCTGTATTTAAATCTACATTAAACTGCAATAAAGTGTTTTTTAGGACCAGACTCGACTGCAATATAATTCCAGAATTTGTAAGAGAGTCAGTAGCACAAAAAGACTCGATCCCTTCTCTGATTTTATAGTAATTTATTCTTGGTTCCATACAGTGAAATGTACACACATCTGTACACTACAACAAAGAATTTATGCTATGTCTTGCAGACAGAAACAATGCAGTCATATAACATTTTGCATTCTGCAGATGTGTAACTTTGAATGACATCTTCAAATGCTCTAGATTTATTGCACCATCCCTGTCAGTGGTTAGCACAGTGCAGCAGTCACACACAGAGCTTTCACTGAGAGACTTTGGGAAAGTCCCTTTTAAGACAGGTTTGTAATGAAAACCGTTTTTTTTTTGATGCACATAGAGAATATTTACTGCATGTCTAAGAGTCTCTCCCTCCTCTTGATAGATTGTTCATTAATGTCTATCAAGGTCTGCAGCACGCTAAATGACCTGAATAGGAGATTAGAGGAAACATAATCCTGCTATAAATCACTGATCTCAACTGTGGGGGGTCTCATCGGCCAGCAGGGCTCCCTCACTGCTAGGCCCGTGTTGTTTTAATGTAACAGTGTGTAAATCTTCAGTGAACATACAGGAGACTATGGAAACACTTCATCAAGTAGCTTACCAGGAGGATGTAAACTTATTTAACTGTAATAATATTGTTAATTTGCCCTTTTTAACTTAATTATTTTCTCTACAGCCTTAAAAAACATCACACAACCAAAAACCCCTGTCATGTTTAAGGACGAGTAGTATTCTGTATGTTGGGGTAATCTCTTTCCCAACACAGTATAGATGCTATATTTGAAATCTCTTCGCTACAGGTCATGGAGAAGTCACAGCTGAGAAGCCACAGGGGTTCCTCAGATATATGCAGCCTTAAACATGTTAATCGTGTAAATTCTGCTGATCCCTCCCTTTATAGCAGGTCATTGTTTAATTGTGACATGATGGCCCGATTAAAAGACGTGAACGCGTAGTCTTTGCAGTAAGGTCGGCATGAGCGATGTACTAATCCCAGTTTAACCCTAAAAGAACCGATCACATCGTTGCCTGGCACAGTTTCACTTTTACTCCACAGCTCCTCGTCCTGTGTTTTAGTAAGTGGATGCCGTAGAGGCCGAATATATTTCAAACTGTTTATTGAAGGAAAACATGAAATCAGGGAAGTAATCTCATTCACCATAGAATTGAAGGAATTCAAATATTTGGCATGGGTCTTAATATGTGTTGCACAAGGACAATTTGATTGTGGCAACCATCCACTCTAAAACAAGCTGGTAATGTTAGGCCTTTCTGAATTTATAAAAAGTGCATAATTGCTTCAATTGCACAATAAAACCTTTCGGGATAAACACATTCAAGATGAAGTGTCTCAAAAGATCGCCATTCTCAAAAAATTTGATTACAGGTGTTTGTGTCGTTACGTAAATTTAGTACGAGTAATGAGTATTTCAGTCAGCCGTGCAGTCATGTTCACATCATTTTAATCACATTTAAAACAGGGAGGATTCTATAGCATATGCACATTGGGACATTTGGGAACGGATTCCCAAAAGTTTCAAACCATACGCTGTCTGCAGAAACAGTCAGGGAGTGATGATGTTTCATGCTGCGTCATGTTTCACTGGGACTTCCTTATAATTGTCGACATGACGCAGCAGTGGTGTGTGTAGTCAAACTTAGTTGTGTGTGTGATGAGTCAGACTGGTGGCAGGGCTGGAAATAGACTTAGAGAATCGTTAGTTTACAATCATACTGGGAGGAGATTGCCACCTACTGGCTGCCAATGGAATTACATTTAAATATACCATCATATGCCTTCTAGTTTAAAAAAAAAAGATTAGGTACAACTTGGTACTGTGAATGAGAGAAAAATAACAATCACACTGGCTTTTTTTATTTATTTTTTTTTTTTGCCTTTTTTGGATATGATGGGTCAAGAGAGACTGGAAATGTTGAGAGGAGAGGGTTGGGTAAGCAAAGGGCCGAGGTCGGATTTGAACCCACGGCTGCTGCGATGAGGATTACGGCCTATGTACATGAAGCGTGAGATATAAACACTAGGTCACAGGCCCCCAAACACTGGCTTTTGTACCCAACACTGGAAATTGTACAATTAGTAGAGTTTTAAAAACCAATGAATTGATACTTTAAACCAAATATTTGTAATTAAACTTATAATTAGGGACACATGGGATGGATGCAGCTTCAGTTATTTGAGACATGATTACCTCCGTTAAGATGAAAAAGTCAAAGAGGAAGACTTAGAACAGAGGCCTTGTTGTTAAAAGGAACATTCGTCATCTCTGATGGGATCTGCAGCTGCTGTCTGTTCCTCCTTTTGGCCCACAGTACTGATTCTTTCTGTTCAGACAGGCTTAGCAGAGAAACACTTGTGTCATAAGACTGAAAGAGGGGCTGATATCATCTGCTTGTCTGAGGTTAGACTTACAAGGTGCATAGCATTTCTTAAGAGGAGTTGGAAAAACAAAATATACTATGAGAACTCTACAAATCCATGACATGTTACTCTTCAGTATTAAACATGTCAGTCCTGAGTTGTGTTCTCCACAGCAGATGTTTGGACAGGTCATAGTAGGACAGCACAGGGGTTTCTAAAACATTGTGTGACAGTCAGCAAGCATGCAAGGCCTTCAAAGTGAAGCATCTTATTGGAATTCAGTCATTCACTGATTGTATTATTTAATACAATGTATTTTTTTTAATTATAGTGACATGATTCAATATTAACTATGAACAATAATGATCCCCTTATTTTAATAGCCTGTATACAGCCTGCATATTTGAGATAAGCCTTTTTCCATTTTTGATAATTGCTGTCATATATTTCAATTTTGTTGAACTGGTTTACTTTCTTTTTTTAAAATTTCTTCCCTCAGAAAAAAAAAAGTAATCTGAATAAAATGCCTGGTTAATTAAAAGGTTTATTTACAGAGTAAATATCAAATCATCCCATTGTCCAACCCCATCAGTTAAATTAGGCAGCCCCGCCCCTCCCCAGGACACTTTATAAGAACCCTGATACATGTTTTAATAACTTATATTCATCCAGCAGCAGGTAAATGAGTGTGCTTTTAAAATCAGGAAAACATTTTCAAACACAATCTTTCACCTTTTACTGCTTGTGGTGTTTCAACAACAACAAAAATGTTAAACGTCACACTGAGATTAAAACAGATACAAGTTTAGTATTATTTACTTGATAAAATAACTTAAATTATTTTAATTTATAATTTGCTACAAGGTTGTTTATCTGTGGATTATATTTCCAATGTGTATGAGGCGATTTCAGAAGCTCCAGCCTCGTCATGTTGGGATAAAGAAATGTGTTTCGGATAAAGAAATAGAATAACATGAAGAGACCGGGACAGATGGACAGTAATAACACCCTGGGGCCCCTCGAGCTGTGTGAGACCCACCCTGATCTTCCTCTCCTCTGTTTATGTGTTCACTTCTCTTCAATGGTATATGTATCTTCCTTTTAATACTGGCTTTAGTTTGAGTATGGGTTTGTAGTCCTAAAGTGAGTGATAATGACTGCACAATCATTAGAAAAGAGTCATGAAAGAAACATCTGGCACTTTTCTTTTGTGTCTCTTGATCTTTATGGACACTTTCCAGTTTTTCTCTGTGTGTTTCAGTCCAGCAAAGTTAAAGAAACACACACCCTGCTCTATCTGTCCCTGGTTTATCATCAATCTATCTGTCCATCTCATATGTCAGTTATCTATGATGATGGGAAACAGTCTGTTGTTTAAAAAGCAGCTGTTCTTCCTCAAAGGAACAATTCTATACTTGACTCCCTGAAGAGTAGCACATTTTATGTGAAAGCTATAATACTAACTTTTTTGTAGTGACCATATTGAATGTGATGGGAATGAGAAAAGGAGTTTGGATCATGCTTTTTTTCTTCTTTCTCGTACAGGAAGCAAGGAAAAAGTATGACAAAGAGACCGAGAAGTATTGTGCAGTGCTGGAGAAGCACCTCAGCCTTTCAGCGAGGAAGAAAGAGTCACATCTCCATGAGGTACAATGTGTCTGAGATTATATGTTCATGGCTCTCTTCTGCCCCCCAACTGTCTGTCTAAACATTTCTTTTCCTAGGCAATATTTTTACAGTGAGAGCCTGCATAATGTAAAAAAAGAAACAGAGCATGTCCATTCCCAAGTCCCAGATCATCCCGTGCATCCCCACTTAACAGCCAGAAATGTTTTCTTATCCACTTATCCAATACTTCAACCCGGCAGGTGCTCAATGTGGGGTTTTAAATTGAGCTGCAAGAAGAGATTGAAAAAGTGGTAAAATAATAAATGGGTGTTTAAAAGAAAGCGTTCCAAATAATTAAATAAAACACTTGTTTGGATTGTATGTCAGACAGATATACAAAGATAAAAAGTATATATGTTATAAAGTAAAGGAGAACCGTGCTTCTTTAGTTTGACATGAAGGAACGACCCTCCACTCTAGAGCCTGACCGATTAATCCGCCAGCCGATAATATCAGCTGATATCAGCAAATCAAGTGTCTATCAGTATCGGCTGATTTGATCGAATATATATTGCTGGTATTACTAGATTTATTCCCCAGTCAAATAGCATTTCATTTGAGTATCACTGTCTTACATTAGCAGTTCTCTTTCTAGCTGTCACCAGCAGAGTGTGCTATGTGGATTACAACAAGTATTATCACAGTGTCAAGTGATGATGCACGTACAGGCTCAGTTACTTTCCAGTTGAGTGTATATATCATTGTATATCTTTTCCACAAGTATTTCATATGAATGATTAGAGGGATCAATGCAATAAAATATAACTATAAAATGTAGAACTATCTATCTCTACAGATCGAAGATAGATCAAACAAAGATATTCGGCCGAGATACGGTTATGAGATGTTTTTCTCTTCCTAATATCAATATCATATAGACCTCAAAAATCCCACATTAGTCGGGCCTTACCCCCCTCATCTTAACTTTTTGTTTAAAGCCAGAAACAGAGTAACAGATCTTTTTCAGGTTTAAACAGGATGCTATGTCCCTTAACCATTGAGCAGGGGGTGACTGAACACGTGTCCCTCCATCAGTGGTACCACACACCCAGCTATAAGAGTCAACAAGCATCCCATCCCCTCTTAGAGTATTTGGAAGTGAATCAAAGTGTCTCTCTTTAATTTCCTTCCTTGTTGTAGGCCGACAACCAGGTAGACAACGTCCGGCAGCATTTCTACGAGGTTTCCCTGGAGTATGTCTTCAAGGTGCAGGAGGTCCAAGAGAGGAAGATGTTTGACTTTGTGGAGCCGGTAAGACTACACATCTCTTCTTTTCAATTCTTTCTTATCCCATGAATAAGCTGTGCGTACATCCTTTCTTTTATTTCTAGCCTTAATAACAGCTCCTCACTTTGACATATCTGACACAGAGTCTTCTCTCTACTGTCACTGGGTTGTAATGTGGAGAAACGGCAGTTTAAAGGATTCTGTGCCTTGCTCCCCGACACCTCAGTGATAGTCTCTGAGGAAATAAAGAGAAATTGTTGCATTCGACCAAAAATCTTAGGATACTCAGGAAATATATTTGGTCTTCGTTTCTCCATCAAAAAAGTTTATTCTTTGAATTTGCTAAATGGAATATGTACAGTTTGTCCAATTTTCCACCTCTTCTCCAACTTGTTTTGTCTCCTCTACTTCCACAACCACCTGAACTTCCCCCTCTTAAAACGCCACCTGTGTTTTCTTTCCACTCTGTATTCCTTCTGCACTTTATTTCTCTCTTTGTCCAAACCCTCTACCCTAACCCTCATGTTCACATTCTTTTATTTTTCCACTTGTGCTTTGTGTCTTTGTCTCATCGTATATCTTCACTTATTCCACATCTGCCTCACCTGCCCTCTTATCCTTTCTACTTTCTCTCCTTTCCTTCATCTGCTTCACCTTCTGTCTGTGTTTTTCTTTCTTCTTCCCCAACCTCAGCTGCTGGCCTTCCTCCAAGGCCTGTTCACCTATTATCACCACGGCTATGAGTTGGCAAAGGACTTCAACCACTTCAAGACGGATCTCACCATCAGCATACAAAATGTAAGGTCAAACATGCACTCGCACACAAATAATAAACAAGGTCAGACTATAGAGGACTGAACGTAAATATACATTCATGAAATGATAAAGAAATTATTAAAGAAAATAAAGATTAAAAGAAGGAAAACAAATTTTTCAGATTTGCTGATATGTTGCTTTTGTCCATCAGTGCCTGTTTAAAAACAAATGTTTTCCAGTTACAGGTGCAGATTTGAAATGGCCTCACTCAGGAATTTGAATGCAAATAATAATTATTAAAAGCCCTTCAGTATTTCACTTTAAAATTCCAAGAACATCTTAATGGTCAGTGTCAAGCCAATTAACACAGGCAAACATTGTAGAGGAAAATTAATGTCAGAAAAAACAAGGTCTCCAAATTTTAAAAATACTGCAGGTGAAATTATTTCTATGATCACACCTTTACTTTTCCGAAGACTCTTCTGAAATTGTGTTAATCCTAGGGACACACAAAATCCTCATATTTGTCACATTTATTAAGTATCTCAAGTTTCTCTACTGAATAACTTTTAATAATAACATATTTGATGTTGCAAGTTAAGCAAAAAAGCATCAGACAAAAAAAAAGGCCTAAGGCGTGTGCTCCTCTCTTCCTGTGTTGACAGACGAGGAACCGTTTTGAGAGCACACGGTCCGAGGTGGAGATTCTGATGAGGAAGATGAAAGAGAATCCACACGAACACAAGAGCGTGAGCCAGCACACCATGGAGGGATACCTGTTTGTACAGGAGAAGCGTGAGTAACTGCCCTGTTCTCTGTGTGTGTATTAATATGTCACAATGAAGGCACTTTTCTGATATTAAAACATAAATGAGTATGTCGGTATATGTGTGTGTGTATTCTTTTTTTGTGTGGTGTGTATTTAGACAGAATAAGCCATAGACTGTATAAAAAGATGGGCAACATGACGGCTCCCATAAGCGAAGCTAAAACATTTTTGAGCACCCCCTGCTGACTGGCTGCAGTATAGGTCATAAACTCCACCTCCTCCATGCTAACATATATAAAGCGATGTGAGCTATGATTGACATTGACATTGAACTTTCCGTTTCTGCCCGTGTATTCTTCAAACGGACACAAAGATCTGTGTTGTGTACTTTACTGTATGTGTTCTGATTTATCGGGAAGTTGAATAAGTGTTGTCGATCATGAGAAGGGACGGGACGTCAATCCTGCAGCTCCACCAACCGATCCCCACTGTGCAGAGTCAGGATCCAAATGTGCAATATGTCAGCCCCTGATGTTGGGAGGGGGAGAAGAAGAACAGCTAGAGAAGCATTGTTCATTTTTATATCCTAATATATCCAATGGCGCAAGCATGTTGATGACATGAAGTCTGGTTGGATCGCACACACTTTAATTTACACGCAAAGTGTCAGTGCAGGGGGGGTGGGGGACTGTTCTGAACCCTGAGCCTAGTGAAGCCAACTTTGATCCGTTTGAGATGTTGACAGCAGCTTTGACCGCATGCTGTTACCATGGCAACATATCTCTCTCTAGCTCTAAAGCAGACATGATTAAGACTCAATATTTTTTTTCTTGCTTTAACCCTTCTCCCTTTCTCTGTCTTTATTTCTCCATGACCTCTCTCCTCTCATTTCCTGTGTTTTTTGTTTTTGTTTTTTAACCCTCTCTCCCTGTTTCCTGACTTGACTTACACGTCTTTCTCTCTCTCACCCTAAGGCTCATTTGTATCAACTTGGGTGAAGTACTACTGCACGTACCACCGTGAGCCCAAGAGGGTCACCATGGTTCTGTTTGACCCTAAGTCTGGAGGGAAAATGGTGAGTAGCCTTAGCCCTTTCGATACATACACTGACAGACAATGTCCATGAGCATATATGCTATCTTTCTGTATAGCTATCTATATGTTTGTATGAAACAGAACAAGAGGCTTTTTTTAGCAACAGAAACAAATGCAGAAAAAGGTTCTACACACATATATGCACACACGTACATTAAGAGAGACAAACACAACATTGTATGACTTCAACCTTTTATGATTTGCACTCGGTTTCCACCCTGTTGAGCCCAATGGGATGCTCTCCAAATCTCATTAACACACTCGCCTCCCTGCAGAGCTCAACAAGCTCTCATTGTGTGTAAGGGGAGTATTTCTATTATTCCCAAATACATAACAAAAATGCCTATTAGTACTTTCCAGGAAGCGACATATACGTATTAAGAGCAGAAAGCTCTTTTTTTTTCACGCGTGGTACCATTTCACACTCCGACACGCTCATACAGAGAGTGATTAATATCCACTTCTCCCTCAACGCAGCCTCAATAGATGAGAGTGCAGTGTTGTGAGTAAGAAGGATGACTCCGACTATTTTCTCAAAGTGTTATCTGTTATCACCCTCTCCACCTACGCACTAAAGAACTAAGAGCCGATGCAAGTTCTTGCTTGTTCTCTAAAGGATGTTGGAGCAGTTTGAGTGAGTTTTTAACTGAAGATAAAGTGGAAACAGTGAACATAACAGAAAGCATTTTTAACACAATGTAGATGAAATAACAAATTATAGTGAATCAAGGGATCAAGATGGACTAAACATGGGCTTTTTTATTGTTTATTGCAATCAAATTATATATGCTTGGGTTGCTCAGAATGAAGAGTGAATATGAACGAATGGTGGAAAAAAGATATAAAATTACATAAATAAAAAATTAAAAAGTGACTCTAGCCTCATAATATTAAGTTGTAAGTAAAGATTATTTATATAGCACCTTTCAAGAGTAGACGTCACAAAGTGTTTCACAATAAAAGATTAGAAAACAGACATTAAAAACAGACAGTTGCATAAAAGCAGACAGATCAAAGAAAGGCAAGTCTGAGCAGATGGGTCTTTAACTGCTTTTTTAAAATGTCCACAGAGTTCACAGCTCTCAGTTCAGGAGGAAGACATTTCCAAAGTTTAGGAGCTGCAACCTTAAAGGCCCAGTCTGCGTTTGTTTTAAGTCTGGTGTGAGGTTCAAATGGTCCTAGCAGACCCTGATCAGAGGACCTCAGGGTCCCGCTGATGTTCTATGGATTCAGTAGCTCTGTGATGTAAGCAGGAGCTGGACCATGCAAGGCTCTAAACACAAAAAGAGGATTTTCAAACTGGATTCTAAAATGAATAGGAAGCTAGAGCAAATACACGAGGATGGGTGTGACATGAGACCTAAGTAAGACAATACTTTAAATTATTTGTATATAATAGATAGAAAGGTATATTAGATGTTTTTGTTAATGCATCATGCTCACTGTGATGCTTTTCAGTTTGTGAATAAAAACCTGACAAATTCTTCCAGGTGCTCATAGAACTGCAGGGTCACAACGTAAAATTAAAGTTATTTGTTTACATTATCTATTTGAAATCAATTTATGTTAGCTAGTTCTTCTAGCACAGTGTGTTTACAATTACAAATGAAACTTATTGGAAAAACTTTTTTTTAAAAAGAGTCTTGTTGATGTCACCTCAAATGTCATGTGGTCAGTACTTTGCTGTTGGTTCCTTGGGGATTATTTTTCTCCTATTTAGTGTTAAAACATAAAATTACCATTTTTTTGGCATCACATTTTGCCCCCCCACACACACACACACACACACACACACACACACACTTGCTGTTAATAAACACATTCCAATGATTGCTGTTATCATTTTTCTCTCTTTGTCAGGGAGATGAAGAGAGCTTCACCCTGAAGTCGTGCACAAGGAGGAAGACGGACTCGATAGAGAAGAGGTTTTGTTTTGATGTGGAGGCTGTCGACAGGTCAGTCAGTGTGGGAATTTACATACTGCAGATCTCCTATTTTAATACTGGACTTTTCTCAAAATCATCCTTTGATCCACCTCACACAAACATTTCACGCAAAAACAGTTTGCATAGTGCCTCATGAAAAACTGGTTTATGTTTCTGACTTAGCTGTAGAAACCATGGACGCAACATGTGATTTAAAGTCGATTTAAGTTTTTACCAGTAAAGTTACAGTTCAGTATTTGATAGGTGTAAAACAGTGAACAGACACATGGGGGCGCTGTGATGATTTTGATTTGAACACAGCACACAGTTGTACTCACAGGCTCTTCCCCTCTGAACAATTCCCTCCTCCCCTCCTCCCCTCCTCCGCCTCTCCCTTTTCTACCCCTCCCCACCCTGCTGCCTCGTCCTCAACTTCAATCTGCCCCCATCAAATCAACTCGACCTGTTATCATCTCATCCTCTTGTTTCCACTTTCCCTGTTTAGTCATTTAAGTCAAGGCCTCAGCTCATATCACTGTTGGTGCGTGATGCTTTGAATGTGTCTGTGTGCGTTTGGTAGTGTTTGAATTTATGTCAGCTGGTGTTTCATGGTTGAAGGACAGCTGGAAGAAGAGTGTGTGTGTGTGTGTGTGTGTGTGTGTGTGTGTGTGTGTGTGTGTGTGTGTGTGGCGTGTGTGTGTGTGTGTGTGTGTGTGCGTGTGTGTGCAGGAGGCTGTAGTGCAGCTGAGTTGACAGCTGAAGGTAAGCAGTGTATAGGATAGGCGTGTGTGTGTGTCTGATTCTTAGTTTCTAAGTCAAATAAATCTGTTTTTTGTCCTTATTTAATCTTTTTATGGAGATAAATCTGTTGATTACAATACACTTGTCAAATATCTGACAACTAAAAAATTCATATTGTTTTTCTCTTGCATAACTTTGAGATTTGTATGCAGAGATCCTTCTTACACAACTGTGTTGATCTGAAGAGTGACAACAGGCACTTTGAATTCAGTAAAAAAAAAAAAAAAAATCAAGTTAACTTTAACTTCAAATCCTGGACGTATTTCATAATAAAATGAATCCAGTAAATGCAAAGTTGGATGTGAAAATAAATAAAATTCTTCTGTCAAGAAGCTCTGTTTTGAAGGCATATTTTCATGTTTTCATCTTTGCCATAATATTGCAAGTTTTTCTGTCAACATTTCACTGACTATGTTTAATGGTGATCATTATATTGGATAATCAAATGTGCTCTGTGTATGTGTCTGTGTGTATGTGTCTGTGTGCATGTGTCTTTGTGTGTGTCTGAAGGTCGGGAGTCATCACCATGCAGGCTCTGTCAGAAGAGGACCGCAGGCTGTGGATGGAGGCCATGGATGGGAGAGAACCGGTAGGTAACCAAGGTTACGGGTTTTGTTCTTAGAAGAGAGGGAGAGGGAAACATGTCCACATAGCATAACAATATGTTCCTCATTAAAGATCATTTTTGTAGCATGGGTCTGATGTATATGCTGTCTGTACACTCATTGCATCATTTTACCTTTTAACATGAAGCAATGGTTCCAAAGCAGGGGGTCAGGATACGTCTAAGGAGTCCTGAGATTAATATGGAGGGACACAAAATGATGGATGGAGAAGGGAAATGCTTTATTTAAAGGGCCAAAAACCACTGACACAGAGCGTACATGCGTGGACAGTTTGTTTATTTATTTTTTTATTCACAGGTATACAATTTAAACAAAGACAACCAGGCTGAAGGCAGTAAGTGGCTTTCTTTGTATTACAGAATTATTTGACACAATTTGACTCTTTGTTGTAGAAAGGTTTGTGTTGTTTTTAATCATACTGCTTTGCTAAAAACAAAATCCAGAATACTCTGACCATTTTGTTTTGCCCAGAGACATCATTCAAGTTATCAATCAGATTTTAATCATATTTACTGTCATACCTCGCACTGACTCTGTCTGACTCCCTCTCCATCAGTGGCCCAGCTCGATGTGATTGGGTTCAACGTCATGAAAAAATTCATCTATGCGGTGGACACTCGAGGTAAAATGACAACTTAGATTTGTTGAATTTGTTTTGTTCTGTTGATTTCCTGCTTCTTTCTGCCACCATTACTGGATTTAAAATATACTTCCACCTGTACATTACTATCACTTGAGTTTACTTGTTGCATTAGGAGGCCATTAGCATACTTCTAGTGTAGCAGCTTGCTTGATTTATAGACTGTAAAAATAAGCTTGATCAGCAGTAAGCTGATGGTAGGAGTAAATCATTTAGAAATCCAAAAATAAAAAAGAATTACTATAAATAAGAAAAAAGGCTCCCAGAAGAGTGTATGAGGTGTAGATAAAAGATGCTCTTCAGTTTTTTCTTGGGCATAGATCAGACAAGAGTGACGGATGTAAAGATGTCTGAAGATGCTATACCACTGTGTAAGTAGTGGTTGCTACTAGCAACAGGATGTTCAACTGAATGTGGTTAAATATAGCATGCACTTTTTCGTTCTAATAAAAAATGAATTCAGAAAGACTCCCTGGAAAACTAAAGGACAAATACATTACATGAAAGATACATGTATGGTGGAACTATAATCTACATTCATCTCAACAATGAGAGTAGAGAAGCTGTTGATGGATTTTTTGTGTGTGTTAAAATACAGACGTCTCAGAGCTGTAATTAAACCCTCCATCTCCTATTTTTTTGTCCTCTTATCCATCTTGAGGTTCTTTAAAGATGTTTCTAACATGTTACAGTTCCACGTAGTTATACCAGCCCCTTCCTTTTATCTGCTGCATTAAGAGCATCCATTATGTTACACTCTTTGGTATCCACTGCTTGGTATCCACTTTTACATTTTGCAACATGTAAGCCCACTGACATGAGGGTAAACTGAAATCGTTTGTAGTTACAGGAAAGCTCAGTGTTGCCCTCAACTTTGCCCACAAGAAATGTCTGCTAAGTAAAAATCTTTAAATATATTTTAAAAATCATCTTTAAAAAAAAAAAAAACTACAACCTGGATTGTTATCATTTACTATATTAGATCCTCAAATAACTAAAAGAAAAACATTTAACAAATCCCATCAAACCTTACTCATAAATTTAAAGAGAAAAACCCTGAAAACAAGAAAAACTGAGCGATGACAAAAAAAAGCCTGAAGGCCGACATAAAAATGGAAAACTAAAAGCGCAGATAGGTTAACCAAAAAAAAAACAGTTTGATGAGAATGTAACGTGTCAGCTGTTAAAACGTGTTTTGTCATGGACAATAAACACAGAATAAACTTTTTAAACATTACATAAGCACTAAGGGGTAACAACCAAAATAACATTAACGCCATCTCTGGTTTCTTAGATCTTTAAAACCCTGAAGCTGCCTGTATTTCCATTACATCATTTGCATAGGATTGTTTTGAAGTTTAGAAAAACAATAACATTAGACGAGTAAAAACGGGTCTCTCCTCTCTGTCCCACCAGGTATCAATGAGCAGGGCTTGTACAGAATCGTTGGCGTCAGCTCCAGAGTGCAAAAACTACTGGGCCTTGCTATGGGTGAGCGAAAAAACACACATGTTAAGTCATGTCTGAGTAAATAAAAATACTGTTCCTCTTCTGTTTTTGTTATTTAATCTTTATGTTTTCACCCATCAGATCCCAAGACATGTGCAGACGTGGAACTGGAAAACACAGAGTGGGAGATCAAGACTATAACGAGTGCTATAAAGCACTATCTCAGGTTTGTGTGGAAAGACTTACACTGTTGAACATATAAGGTATACATGTCGAAATAGAAAACTCAGCTGATTAAGAGTTATGTCAACTCTAAATTATTCCTTTTATTTTGAAATTGCAGCACTTGTTTTCTCTTTTTCCTCTCAGTACTAAGTATGTATGATACTTTTTTCAATCTCTGCATCTTTTATAGAGAATATTTTTCTAGTCTAAACTCAAGTCACTGAATTGGTTAATATGCCGGTTCATTCACACATTATTTTCTCTATTTGTGCTGGTCATCAAACACCTGAAGAAACCAAGCTGTGCTCTACTTTATTTTCACAAAGTTTCAAACTATGTTGTGTTTCTTTTTCAGTTGTTTTGAAAAGACTTCCTTAACAGCATCTAAACATTTTGTAACAGGGGTGGGATCGGGATTAGGGGGTTAAGTGGGAGCAGAAAAGTATGAAAACGCATTGAGGGAAAGTGGTGTTCAAGCTGTGCTCAGTCTGTTGTTCCTGAATAATTCGACACTATACACAACACCCACACACATAGGTACACATGCACTTACACAAACATGCACTCATTAGCATACAAATGGACAGTTATAAGCACACACACACACACACACACACACACACACACACACACCATTAACAGCATGAACACATCAGGTCAGGCCTCATTGAGAAGCAGTAGGAGCCATTACACTCTACAGGCAGCTCTTATAAGCTGATGTATGACTGTGCAAGCTGGCGTGACAGCAAAAAGACGAGAAGGAGAACATAGTTCGACGAGTGATCATCCAGAACTGTCCACATGTATTGGTTGTGGCAGAGGAGCCAACCCTCAACTTTTCACTCCATTCTCAAACCTGTCGTCTATTGTCTTGTGTGTTTCTAGAGTGCTGCCTGCACCTCTCATGACGTACCAGTACCAGAGGAGCTTCATCAAAGCTGCAAGTAAGTGTTTCCCTTTTGAGTCGTTTCATTTGCCTCTTAAATGTGAGTGCAGCCTGCAGAACATTAAACAGACTCTGCTGCCGTTCAAGGTTGTTCAATTCCCACTGAGGCCTCCCACATATAGATACTGCTAAGAGCTATTCTGAGACCCAATTGGATTAAAAATAACTCCTACAGTTCTGAATAAAGGGCCACAGTTTGTACATGAAGTGCACAGATTGCACATCAATATAAAGATGTTTTATAAATTGATTAAAGAGGTTTTTTGTTTTACTAGAAACAGTCTTTGTTTGCCTCCTTTTTACCTCTCTCTATACACACCAGTATGAGGAGGTTGTCGCCAGCATTCTGGCCTGAACTCCATTTGCAAAAATGAGAACATGAATGATTCATTCCATTAATGAGGTCATGACTTGCTTTTACAAACAGGAAGTTCACCTGCTGAGAAACAAGTGCACCCACTGCGCCAACCTCCACCACATTACGCTCATGTAACTCAGCCTCTGACTGTGCCGCTTTGTGTTGTGAGTGTGCACACAGTATGTTACTGACCTGCTGCAAGTTGTGTTTTCATGCATGGAGATTAGAAGCCTGGCGATTCAAATGACTGAGTTCCACCTAGTTAAACGTCTGTGTTTTGAGGTTTGCTCTGACAAAAAGAAAATATGCAGAAATAAAGACTTTGCATGGGGGCTCTTCTCAGCATACTGTAGGTTTAATCTAGTTGAGATATGTCAGGCCTGTTAAATCCAGCTGTCTATAGTTCTTATGCATTTAGCTTCTTCTTCTGTATTCTTTTTGTAAACAGGCCCTTCTCTAGTTGCCACATGTGTATTTTAGCCCAACCCAGTCTCTTCTGCTGTCCTACAGGACGTCTCATCGAGCTGTTGTCTTTGCTCGCCAGTAGCACAGACTTTAGAAGGCTAAGCTGACAGGGGGAAGGAACTCAAGGAAATGAATGTGTCTCTGGCAACGCCACCAGGAAATGGCTCAATATGAGGCCAACTGGAGAGGAAAGAGTGTTGAAGGATATATTATGCGAAAGGAGGAGTGAGTGTGGCAGTTGAGGATGCCAAATCAGCTGGTTTAATACCAACCTCTGTTATAATGTATTCATGGATGAGATGATAAAAGGACAAATCATCGCCAGCTTATTATTTACAGATTTGTATTTCTTGCCGTCCTACTTTCCTTCTATTCAAAAGCTTCTTCTCGGTTTCTCCCTCAGACATTCATCAGACTGTCTGCGTTTGTATGCTATGAATTAGTGCGTTGGAATGCATACAATATGTGCAAGAATGCATGTTTGCATGTGTGAGCAGACTTTATTTTTGTAGACACAGTGGGGTGCTTTGAGGACAGCGTCCTCAATTCAACTCTTTTCTTTCAGCTCCTCCCTCACTCCTCCTCTCTTTCATGCATTCTCCCCCAACTCCACCTCATCATCCTCCTCCTCTTCTAGTTTCATCTTGCCTTACTCTCCCCTGTCCCGTCCTGCTCTGGTTTAAAGTATCAGGTTTAAACAGAGAGTGTTTTAAGGTTTGTTGGATCAAATTGCGTGCGTTATTTATTTTTTTACACCAGCACCTGACAGATGTGGTGTGTTGGGTCAGGAGGAAGAAATTTTACTTTCAAAAAACACTCAGCTGTCTTGAAGATGGATTAACCTAATCCCAGCAGTCACTACAATCATTTCAGTGTATTCTTGCTGAAATGATCCTTCTCATATGGCTCCTAGACCACAAAACAAAGTTTTGTAGCTTGCACTAAATGATTAAGACCATGAAATAGAGACTTAGAAAGAAAAATGAGAAAGAGAGAGGGTGGAGCGCAAGCTGGATTTCAGATTCCTGCCTTAGGCTATAGGCATGGAAACACAAAAACAGTAATACTTACTCTGTATCCAGTCCTTAGGCTTTGGTTCCTGTATCCCTTTCATATTAGTTTATTGTATTCTCCTCACCTTTGACTGTATCTATTCATTTTTTAAACGTTCAAGAGGATCTCATATTTTCTTATGTTCCTTCCATTAACTTCTCTTTGACTTCAATGTACTGTAAGGTAAGAAAGAAGTGAAAGGATGAGAAAGGAAACGGGTAGGGCTAGGGCTAAGGTTATGGCTATGAGTCGATTTGAAAGCTAACGTCCAGTTCCACAAAAAGAGTCATCCTGCAAAGATTAATACAGGATTCCAACGACACAGAATAATTAGTCCCTCTCCCTGTAATTACTACTGATATGTCATATATAATTGTATCTGTTTTCTAACTGTCCATCCAGACCAAAAAGTCACAAGTTCAGCAGCAGATAGGATCATTTGCACCTCGGGGGGCTTAGTATTTGGGTTGTGAGACTTTCATGATTGCTCAGCCCTTCTCTTCAGTTTTTGTCAACTACAGAGACCCCTAAAGGTGGTCAGATTACACATTTTTGATATATTTAGTCTCCATTTTTTGATTAATAAGCGATGTGTTAGTGGACACCAGTTTAGTTAGTAGAGTAGACACCCCATGTACAGAGGCTCCAGTCCTTGTCTCACTGGTCACGGGTTCAACTCCCAATCTTGACGCTGTTTGGTGTGTGTCTTTGCTCGTTCTCTCTCCCCACATATCCTGTCTCTCTTTTCCTGTTCTATCCAATAAGGGCCAATCCTGCCAGCCAAAAAAAAGGTGTATCAGGAGATTTTGTGCAAACCTTTACAATGCATGTAGTCTTGTTTCTCATTAATCCTTTCATCCGTCCTTTAATTCTCTGCTTCTTATGGTTATCAGGCTTATGGGAGCAGAGGGGGCAACGCTGTTATACGCACTAAAACAAGTACATGGGGGAAAGTAGAACACAGTTTGACCTTTTTGTGCCCACATCTCTCGTTCTTAACCTTGACAGTAATACATCACAGACATTTGCTGATGAAACACTCGAGCTATGACTCTCCATTTGATCAGCATGAGTCCTCTTCTGTTATCTGATGGCCAGGGAGCTCCTGGAATGACTCTGCGTGAGACTAAAACAGAGAACTCTGTTTAGATATTCACAAAGATTAAGATTTATAACTAAACTTTGATTCTATTCATATTAATTACATGTCTTTGCATTCATGTCACGTTGTTGATAAAGTATCACTCTTAGTGCTTATAACTCTCAGTGGCTTTAATGACTGTTTACACAGAAATATGAAAGTCTTAACAGATAATGATCGGTAACTTACTTAATAATAGTTAATTGTGTAGTTGGCTATGTCTTGAAAGCTTTTCAAATTGAGTCAGGACAGCTCTTAGTCATGGTTTTCATCATATATGAGATCTTTTAACGCCCATTCCTTTCTTTTAATAAAGTTTTTCTCATATACCCAGCCACCGTAAGAATTGAAGCAGGGTGTGATAAGACTTATACTGCCTACACAGCTGAGATGACCATTATTAAAAATGAATGACAACAAAGTGGACAGGTGGAGCCTCTTGAGTTTATTAAGGATTAGACGATGGTCAACAGATGCGGTGAGCTTCATGAAGCCAGGCATGTTTCCTTGTGGCTGTGTGGATGTCAGTTTGACTGGCTCACACATGATCAACATCTTCACTCACTTAAGAGACACAACAATGGAGTTTTTTGATGAAGTGACACCCAGACTTATTTAAGGTTTTTAGGCTTTTTTCTGAGCCTTTAACTGTGAAGAAGTTTGTATTTCACAAAAATAAGAATTAGAAAAAAAACACATGAATAAAACTCAAAATGGGTTCGATGGTATGGGCAAAGAGTCATCTGCATAAAGAGGAGAGATAAAGTGACTGTTAAGTGACGGATGTGTTGAGGCTATAAAAAATGACTTCTGCTGGTTGTAATAAGGAATGACACAGCATCAAAGTAGCTTATGATGGTCAGTATAACTAAACAGCACATAGTGTGTGTAAATTAAAATAACCACAGGGCCATATGACATGTTGAGCTCTATCCTGTCATTTTTGTAGGAGTTCATTCAAGCCTAAAATAATTAGAAACAAGCAGAACAATGTTGACTTTTCTTTTTAAATCCCACCTTTATAGATAAATACTGCTATACTGCAAGATATTTCATATTTCTAAAACTTGGTTTTTAGAGATCTGCACACATAAGTCCCCTAGTATGTGTTTCACATTGTAGAATGCAATATAGAGAGCAATGAGTGTTATTGTTATGCAATGAGTGCAAGCATCTGTTTGGAGATAAGTGTAGCTGCTGTCGGCATCCACATTCAAGTGAATGCTCGCGTGCGTGCATAAGTGCGTGCATGTGTTGACGCTCTGCTGGCTGGGGATGTATTGACTGCCACTGACAGTTGGGGCCAGTGGTTTAATCTAGTGTGAGTCTGCTGTCATCTCTCCATCGACCGCCTCTGCAACCATGACTTATCATTGTCATTCATCAACACCAGGTCTCTCTGCCTGCCTGTCTGTCTGCTCTGCCTATTAATCACCGGGACACAGACTTTTCCCACTTTCCAGCAGAGTTCAACACTGAGTGACTTAAACTTTCCAAATTTGTCTCTGACTCCTTCACTGTGCCTTACTTTTCTGGTATTTGCACCTCTTTGTAATGTGGTGGAAAATACTTTATTTACTTGCCATCCCAACATAGGAGTCTAGTAAGGAGTAAGGAAGACTGATTTTACTCTGTTTTGGCTAACTCTTGGTTTCAGCAATATTTGATCGATCGACAATAGATGGCTAAAGATATGCAGCAAAGTCAGGCTGAAGCAATGTCTTTAAGGCAAAGGCAGCAGGAGAATAAAGACAACATGTAATAGTTGTAAAAACTGCCCAGATATCAGCAGAATATTTGGAAAAAAGATGATACTTTCATTTAACCTGAAGTCCTCAAAATGTATTTATCTTTTATTGTATTTTTTAAATGTCTTCTGCTGGATCTTACAGAGTGTGACTGTCTTTATAGCTCTACACAAAGGGCTTACATGTGTCCGTGTGCTGGGAGACAGTTTGAATACAGTCTGAATCATCCTTTAAACAATAAGAATAAACTGTCTCTACTGTCTGGTATTATACACTTGTTTGTCCTGTGTTTGTCTCTGCTCCTCAAAATATTCAAAATAAAATGTGAACGCCAAGATGAAGTCTTTATGTATTCAACACTCTCTCTCTTTCTCTCTTTTTATCTTTCTCTGTTTAGAGTTGGACAACCAAGAGGCCAGAGTGACAGAGATTCACGCTCTGGTGCACCGGCTGCCTGAGAAGAACAGACAGATGTTGGAGCTTCTGATGAAACATCTGTCCAAGTAGGTGGAGACCTACTGTATTCATTAATTGTCATGATGTATCAGACAGTGGGCCCCCTTAAAAACAGTGTAGCATTTACATTTGAACTCTGCCCTGTTCCTGTAATTCTCCTCAGCTTGATTATTGTTGTTGTTCCTCCTCGAGGAGGATTACAGATTCATGTAATCTCTTGACCACTTGCATTAAGGCTATGTGCACCGAAAATAGAAACCCATCCAGCAACCACCAGGACAAATCTATTTCCCGAGCTTATCCCTCGAAGGGGAAGAGGGGTTAATAGTCAGGTAAAGGTCTTTGTGTGGATCCCTGGAAATGTATGAGAGACCTGGTCACAGCTTAGTTAGAGTTATTTTGATGATTAGCAGGACAAAAGCGGTCTTTATGTTTGTGTTCAAACCAATTTAAATTTGGTTTGGAATAGTACAGTACTCTCAGTATTTGTTTTAACAGACTTAAATACATTCACTAAGTAAAGGCATTGTCACTGAAGCAATGTTTAATGTTGACGGTTAAAAAACGGAAAGAGAAATGTATTCCAGTTCTACCCCAGGTGTCTCAATGTTTTTTGACCTGCAATTCAGCAAATCAGTACTTACTGGGTAAGTAATGGGATGTTACTCTCCCATTGAGCTGATTGGAAATTAGTGCTCTGCTCAAGGTTATTTCAGCAGATTAGATGATGAGCACTCCAGATGATTAAATTCAACCAATAAGTTCCAAGACTTCTGTAATGGCCTATTTTCTTCTTAAGTCTATCACCTGCCAAACGCCTCTTCATATTTTTCTCCCAGCACTTTAATTCATTGCCTACCTATTTTAATTATTCTCATAGTGTAAGTAGGCAAAAGTTAACTGCATAGAAAAACTGGGAATCAAACAGGTTGTCTGGTTTCATAAACATAAGGCTTCTGCAGCCTTTGGCAAAAAAAAAGCAAGGGTTGGCTTACCTGTAATTATTAAGCTAATACTGGCAACCTGCAATGTGTATACCCTCTAAACCCACGACTAAGCCATGTGGCTTTAAAGGGCTTTTGTTGAACGGCAGCATCATGACATAAAGTTAGATAAATGGGACATCAGCCATGCTTACACAGCGCCTCGTCAGGTGTGAATGCAGGTATTCTAAGGACATGTATGTCTTAACCTGGGTTTAGTGGATTACACCTGACTTACATGTTAAATGTCTGGATCACAGCTAACACCTGTGTGTGACTTCAGGCCAGATCAGATCAGGTTTGCTGGCACTGGTGCCCTCTGAAAATACAATATCGCAGAGCGTGTTCATTTTTGATGTCCCAATTTGTGGTGCTGTTGAAATGCACTGCATAACATCTGGACAGAGAGGGGATTTGTTCCTAAGCCACTTTTTATTGATACAAATTGGATGACCAAAGAAAAGCAATACAACAGTAGTCTAGTCAGTATAACAAACCTCTCTTAAACTGTTTCTAAAATGTGTAATGCTGCTTTATAAATGGTCAATGTGCAGTTTTAGTAATCACTCCCTCTCTTCTCCTTCTGTCTCCTCCTCTCTCTCTCTCTCTCAACAGTGTGGCCAATCACCACCAGCAGAACCTGATGACCATCGCTAACCTTGGTGTAGTCTTCGGGCCAACTCTGCTCCGCCCACAGGAGGAAACAGTCGCCGCCATCATGGACATCAAATTTCAGAACATTGTAGTGGAGATCCTTATAGAGCACCATGAGAAGGTGAGAAGCTGAGACATAAATACATACATTTACCTACTGATTTGAAACTTTGCCCTTGTTAAGTATGAATATCGTAACAACATATGAATGTCTGAAAAAAATGAAGCTTATCAGAAATCATCTTACTTCCCATTAATGAGGCCGTTCAAAATATTTATTTTTGGGGCTTTTTATGCCTTTATTTTAGAGATGGGACAGTGGAGTCAGAAACCGAGGAGAGAGAGTAGAGAACAACTTGTAGGAAAGAAGCCACAGGTCAGATTTGAACCCAGGCCGCCCGCTCTCTATGACTTAAGTCTCAGTACAATGCGCACTAACCGCTAGGCTACTGGTGCCCCAGCATTTATGTTTTGATAACATCATGATTGATAGAAGTTTGATGGTGCCCTGTGAGGTGTCCATAATCAGGGTTTTGGACACACACACACACACACACACACACACACACACACACAAGCATAAGCATTTATATGTATATAGCATGTATATATTCTATATATACTCAAAGACACTTTCTCTCCGAGACTCAACAAGCTTATTGGCAGACAAAGCTACTTTCAGATCTCACCATAGCAACCCACCAATCTGATCTCAGCTACTACACGTGTGTGCATGCATGCATGTATTGACACACATGCTAGATACGTGTGTGTCACACAGGGTTTTCGCCATCTCTGTCCTCCAGGATTCCTTGCAACGACAAACATAGAAGTGAATATTGGTTGTGTGATAGAACAGATCTGAATGCTTCAAGACATCTAATCACAGCCACTGTGATTGGAGTGGTCCATTTTTCACCTATTTTGTTTTGCTGATTTCAGCGTGAAGCTCGAGTGACGTGCTATTAGTTCTCTTTCCTTGCCTGGTTTAATGAAAGCATTTCATTCATGTGTAACTAATATTGAAATGATTTTCTCATGCTTGGTGACATGCTCATGTACTATACTGACCATCAGTACGTTTCACCCTGCTAATGACCATTCATTCCAGTTATGTGAAAAAATTCTTGTTAATTTTTATGTTAAAAATGTCATTCTGCAGCACTCAGATCTGTTTCCTGAGTGGCGCCTGTGAGTGTGGAGTGTGGAAAAATGCAGAAAATAGGCAATGACAGATGAAGGGATGCTTGGATGATCACAACTAAGAGGAGCAAAGAAGCATGAGTTGTGTAAAGAACATCAAGTATGAAAACAATAGTAATAGATACTGATGAAGAGTGAAAAAAACACTGCTGTGTTTACTTTTCACATGGGAAAAAATATATAAAATAGACAATGACAGATGAAGGCGTGCTTGGATTCCAGCATTAGTTGTGGAAAAAAACACCAAGTGTGGAAAAAGTGAATAGTAATAGATAATGGTGGCGAGGGACAAAAAATTTAATCACACCTGCTGTGTTTATTTTTATCACAACGTGGGATTTTCTGCATCTTTCGTTATTGTGCTTTAAGGAGTGAATCGGATCAGTCAGCGATGTCACTATCAATGCCACAGATCTGAAATGTAAGGAACAGTATGCTCTGTGAAGTTTCTGCGTATGGAATCATTCACAGTTAAAGGAAGTGTTAGACACACAAACAACATACTTTACTTATGTTTAGCAGAGTGGCAAATAAACAGCAAGGATTCAGAAATAAAAACATTAATGTATATCCAGCAGTAGTTCATCTATCAGACCATATTTCTTTCCAACATTAAGAAAAGAACAAGATAACTTTTAACCAGGCATTAAGTGAGCAACTTGTGTTTTTTTTTTTTTTTTTTTGCAGCATGGTGAATACATCTTGCACTCACACACACAAGGGCAGCAATAACAACATGTAGACATTTTTGGGGGGGAAATTGTTTGTCATTTTGGTTCAGTAAATGTCCACATAGTTTTATTGATTGCATTTTAACCTACAGTTTGACTTTCTTTGCAGATATTTAAGGACGTGCCAAATTCTGCAAGCGGTCCGACTAATATGCAGCTCCACTTGTCAAGGAGGAGAAGTGCAGAGAGCAAACCCCCGTCCTGCAGCGAGAGGCCTCTCACGCTCTTCCACACACCCACACATTCTCAGAAAGGTGATTTAGACCACCTCATTTTGACAAAAACAAGTATAAAGGCATTGTTTTCTTTATTTTCTTTTCCTTTTATGTTTAATTACACCTGCTTTGTGTTTTCATTTCCTTGGCTAAGAGATAAAAGTCACAATATCTACCAGTTTCCCTTGTTGGAATGGAACATTACGCTTTCAGTTTCCCACATAATTGTTGTTTCAGAAAAGGAAAAGGCTGTTGTAAAAGAGGGGCAGAAATTAGATAACATTTACTGAGTGTGTGAGGTTTGTCAAATTCTTTCTTTATTCTTGAAGGTGAAAAGAGAAACAGTGTTGCCGGCACCAGCATCTCTGAGCTGCAGCAGCCCCTTTCCACCTCCACAAACTGTAACAGCAGCAGCAACAGCAGCAACTCGGGCAGCAGCCAAGGTCGGACCCCAAGACACAGCCTGACCAGCAACGACGGAGACACACAGGACACCACACGGCAGATCCGACCAAGCTCACTGTGAGTAGAAGAAACAGAAATGATAAGAACATGAAACTGTGTACCAACAGAATCCTCACACATTCTGGAGGTCTTAATGTCCCGAGAGTTATGAATGAAAGTGAATATTCACTTTTGAATCCCAATTCCTCTTCTTTTCTACTGTTAAAATCTAAAGCTAATTATCAATAGTAAATAAAACGAAGCGTCTTATTGTTGAAGAAAAGACCACAAACCTTTAGATGCTAGTCACACACAACCTTTTAAACGCATCCTCGTCTCCAAACATGTCTGTATATTTTTTATGGCAGCTATTGAACACTCAGTCAAAGAAGACCTTTGTTTTTAAATACACAGCTAATCATTCTTTCCGGAAAGACGTGTCAGTAGAACGTAAACAAAAGCAAACGTAGATTGAAATAAGTACAGATTAAAGGATTTTTGTGTTTGTGGGTCGAGGGTTTTGACTCTTATGTAACTATGTAGAGACAGAAGTGTACACACGTATAATCATTAACGCTTCAATGCACTCACACGCTGGGCTGAAACCTGATTCCTTCAATCAATCGAGTACCTTGTTTTCTTAATGGCCTCAATCTCTTCTCAAGGCTTTGCTTTAGTCCGGACTACTGTAAAACATTCTGTAGAAAGGCGAGAAACACTTAAAGTATGGACTCTGCGTAGGGCTATTTATGTGCTCTCGCTTTATGTCAGCAGAGCAGGAATGTCTCCATGTGCTTCTTTGTCCTCATCTGTCCCCTAAGTCTAACCCCATATTCTGTGGCTTCTATTTCATTTCAAAGCCTCTATTCTATCATATACACAAATATTTATAATACATTTTTAACTTTTTTTAATTTATCAGAAATAACTATGGAAAAAGTAGCTGGCTGTCATTAAGTCAGTAGTTGGCTGTTGGCTGACAGCCTGCGCTTGTGGAAGGCCTTGAATATTATTGGTTTATATTTATAACGGAGCGAGGGAGAGAGCTTGTCGGTGGGCGAGCTGCTTTGACTCTTAACGAGAGAGGGAGAGAGTGCCGGGCTGCTGGGTCGGTTTACGAGCTAGTCTAAGTAGAACAAGTCTTTAAATACAATATATGGGCAATCAGAGTGGGCTGGAACTTTCAGAACTATCTTCCGCTTTTACTGTGTTTGTTAGGATTTGTCAGTCTCAATAGGAAATGTTTCTACAGTTATAGTTTGAAATTATACTGTCAATGAAGGAAAGATTCTAATCCTTGAGAAGTTATCTGACTTTTCTTGAAGTTGAGTCCCAGTCCTTCATTCGTTGCTCCCTCTGTCCCATTGGCCGGCTCCTCTGTCCTCATGCTTCAGGGCAAAGTAGCGTGACGTGCTCGCGAGCGCCTTAAAGCTGGTACACGTCAGTCTGACAAGAAAGAACAAGCTGCGATGAAAACCCACTGCTGTGTCGTGTTTTGCACTGTTCACACCAAACTGATAGCAGCCTACTGCCAATAAGTTTGTGCATTCTGCACATGCGCGAGAGGCAATAACTTGAGGATGCACAAACAGCAGGGTTTTTACATCTATTTGTCATTTTTCTGACGAACGCCTTTGTAATTGCCTCGAAAATTCCTGAAGATAAGGACAGAGTACTGGCCTTACATGAAAAGAGTCTTCTATATGTGCCCTCTTGACTTGGTATTGGTTTTCCTTCTTCACTTTCGTTTCTCTTCTCGTGCCCCGAGTCACTGACTAAGAGCCAATCAGAGTGATTTCTCTCCTCTACTGGTCGCCACCAATTCAAAATGCACCGAGCAGTTCCGATGCTGCTGATCACACCACACCGACAAGAGCCACCAACCCTTTCTGACAGCCCTGACTAGCCCCGACCCCGGACGGTCGGCTCCGCGTATATCTACCTTTAGTTCAACAAGCAGGTCAAATCCAGAATATTTGATTTGGATGGCCCAGTCCTGACTTGTGCAGCAGTGGCATGAAGTTCTTTTATTTACCTTCTTAACAAAGGTAATTATTTAATGTCATTTTCATAACAAAAACATTTAAAATGTTTTTGTTTTGTTGAAGTGAAGTAAAATGCGTTCCCTGCTCGTGCTGTTTTGATTTGATTGCAGTGAGTAGAATGAGCAGGTGTCAGGCATCTCTTCAACATAGTAAATCAGTTAGTCAATGAACTTAAAGTATGATATTAATATAGGCCTAGTAATAAGATGAGATAATCCTCTATAAGTCCCACAATGGAGGAATTAGGTATTGGCACAGCGCTCAATTCAAAAATACTGAAACATTTGAGATAAGCGTCACTAGACACACACCCCTCAGGGTTATTCACATGTGCTAACACATATCTGCACATGAAGCTCAGCAACATACAGTAAAGTTGAGCTATACACACACACACACACACACACACACACACACACACACACACACACACACACACACAAGCATAAGCATTTACACTTACATGCAGTGTTTTTATCTGTTTGTCTGTCATCATGGGATTGGGATGTCGACATGCACCCTGCAAATCACTTCATCCTCTGACAGGTAACTCAAGTAAAGCCCTCAGAGGGACTAAGCATGTCCACACTGATTCCTTTTTTCTTTCCTCTTTCACTCTGTGCTTTTATTCTTCACTGTCCTTTATTTTTCTTTCATTCCAAACCCATAGGAAATTGACCTCCGCTGTTTGATTTTGTATTCTGTTTCACGACGTCTTATTTAATGTGGCCCTGTGTGCTTGGTAGCTTTAGGGAATTCCCCTCTGTCACTGATGACATGTACATGTAGCTGTAGTGTGACTGATGGGGTCGATTTAATCAACATGTCTGAACATGCAGCACATTTGTACCAATCAGTTTGAGCAGAAAATTCTCTACAAGTCTTGACACAGGTATAAACCGAGGAAATGAAGTCTCGTACTTTGGTCCTTAACGGACTAAAATATGAAGCTGCTCTGTTGAATGTTATCCACCAAAAACATAAAGGAATACTTAAACACTGACTTTTTGCATTGATATGTGCACAACATAGGTGAGCTTTGATAAGTTTATTCTGCTGTAAATACATTAAGTACTCACATTGTCAAATTCAGGACACCAGATTTAAGTAATTAACAAAATAAAAGGCGACTTTTGTTTTATGCATGAGTAAATTCTCTAAACAAGTAACGTAATCTGAAATAAAATTAAAAAAAAGCTTCATTCAACAGCTGTTGCCTGCTCTATTAGTTGCTTCTGAATTATGTATCTATTAAATGTAATGAAATGATTGTGCAGACCTCATCACGCTGGGTTTCTTTCATTCAATTAACGTAAAAAAAAAGAATTCTCATACTGTGAAAAAAGTAATGATCTATTTGAAATGCAGTGTGTGCTATGCTTCAGGAGAGATTCACACAGTGTGAACAAGATGGAGAAAATGGACGCAGTTTTAATGTCAGGCATTCATACAGTAAAAGTGAACAGTTTAGAAATATTTTAGAAACATTTGCATATTTAAACATTCTTTTGGCATTTTTCTGGAGTCAAGCCCAGGGTGCACCTCAGGGTGTTATGCAAAAGTAGAAGTGATATGTCATGTATAATGGATGCAGGTTATATAAGAAATGAAGAGAAAAAGAGAAAAAAACTAGACCCTGAAAAAGAGCAAAGGGGTGACAGGGTGTGTTTTAAATCACAGTACAGAAAGCCATTAAGTGACAGTTGAAGATCATAATCCTAATGTGACTCCTAATGGTACATGAAATGATTTGCTTGCAAGCTTCCGTCTCTATTTTCTGCCTTATTTCAGCTCACTGTGATGCTTATATTGAAAGCATGGCTGTAAAGTGCTTTAAGCATGATGTGCGCTGTAGAGATGCACCTATTGGAGAAATCAGGGCTGATTCCGATACCAGTGCTTCATGACGTCTTTTGGTGTAAGATGACTCCCACAATGCAACATTTTCTCTCATGTTTGACAATGAAAACAAAATCAGTTTGTTTAACAGGCGACTTCATCTGCCCAATTCAAAATCAGAAGATGCCAGCATGAAATGGATTTGGCACAACAAATTAAAATTTGCGACCAACATCGGTGCATACCACATTATTTGCTGATGTCTGTCAACAGGACTGATATCAGCCGATACCGATGTTGAGCCAATTATTCGGTGCATCCCTAGTGTATATGATATGTTTAAGTGAAAGGTAGCGAAAAAGATTTCCCTTCACCAGACAGCTTAGTCATTTGTATCTTGCATGTTCAACAATTAAAAAACTCAATGCAATTTGGATTATGGCCTAATTTTATTCCAATGCTTAAAAAAACAAAATGCACTCTATCAGCTCTGTGCACATAGACCCAAAGCCCAGAATCCTTTTTCCTAGTTTCAAAGATAAGGTATCTACTCAAATCTCACCACAATAACATGCATGCTTCCCTGAGGGGGAGACAAGTGGATTTCAGAGCTCTCTTGCTGTAGTAGTGAGTGAAGTGTGAATCTCAAAGGAGCTGCCAAGGCCAAGATGAATATGAAGAAATTGTCATGATTATGAAAGCGTGTCCTTTAAAAAAAACAAAAAAAAACTACAGTCTCACGTAGAGAATCTGTCCGTCTTAAGTCAGTTAGATTACAAATAACATGAAACCAGAGAGGCATGAAAACAGTCTGATTTATAGGATGAATATCTGGGACAAATGTATTTTTTGGGGGAAAAAAATAGATTTAATGTGTATTCCACTGTGTTAGGTATGTTTTACATGTTGGTAATGTTGGTGAACATTTTGTGATGAAAGCTCTTATAGTGGGTTCAGAATGGAGAGACACGTGAAAAAAACAAACACAGGAGCACATACTTAGTTCCCATGAAAATGACTTTTGTTTGAACAGCAGTGGTGATCATTCAAGCAGCTTAAAATCAAAAAAGTGATATCCAGCAGACATGTGCACAGTATCCATGTTGTCCTTGAAACCTGTGACTAATGAATACAGCATAGAAGACAGAGTCATGTTGCATTCTATTAAATTAGATATTCAATACTTCTATTTAT